GAGTCCCCCAGGTGCCCCTACAGTAGCCACTTAAGTAGTGGTGATGGTCACACAACTTTGTGGACGAACCTAATGCCATAGAATTGTACACTTAAAAATGGATTAAAATATGTGAAATATATATATACATATGCGCATATATATATGTTTACCACCACACAAAAATAGGGGGAAAGCTTTAAATGCACACTAACTCTAAGTAAATAAAATGAGAAATGAAGTCTTCAGTCTCACTGGCCACATCGTAAGGGACCTGTAATGTCATTGGCTGGGGGTGTTGCAGACAGAATGTTTCCATCATTGCAGAAACTTCTACTGGACAGCGCTGGCCTGCTGTGGCTTCTTACCGCCGCCCAGGTGCCGCTTCTTGGCAGCACTCCAAGGGGCTGCCTTGCAACCCCACCAGGCCCCAGAACAATCCCTTGGGGGCTGGCTTGTCTCTGTGTTGAATCCTGATGCTCGTGGTGTTGGGGAGGGTGCGGGAAGCAGGCAGGAGCTGCTCAGGATGGATGCTTCGGGAATTGTAGTGAAGGTACGCCTGCAGAGGCGTGGGCAGGGCTGGGTAGCCAACAAGAGGCAGCACGGCGCCCTGGGTGAGCAACAGCGAGGAGCTGTGACCACGCACAGGCTGGAGGTTGGGGGATACGGACACCAGAAAAGAAACACTCTGACTTCTCGCTCTTCCCTCCTCCCACCTCCGGCCTGGGGGGCCCCCACCCCCATCCCATCCCCACCCCATGCCTGGCTGACTCTAGCAAAAGGCAGAGAGCCCAAGGCAAGGTGGGACACAAGGCAAGGTGAAGCGTGGATGGGCTGATTTTCAGCCCCACTTGGTTCGCTCTAAACCCCTCCCCCACCCCACTTGTCATCCATAGATGTCCATTAGCTCCGGGAAACTGCCACCCATTGACCACCACACCCCTCGCCCCAAACTCGCCCCACCATTCTCTGGTTGCCAGCAACAGAAACAACTCCAGCTGGCTGAAGCTAAAAGAGCATATATTGAAAGGATCTCAGGGAATCCGCAGGATGGACAGAGACAGGAAGGACGGAGAGCTATGGCTGTGGCCTCATTAGGGGAGGCTGCTCCTGTCCTGCAAGCCTCCTCTCAAATGCAAAGTACGGGTCAGAACGCCAAGGATGGGGCACCTGGGTGTCTCAGTCAGTTAAGAGTCCGATTTCAGCTCACGTCATGACCTCACAGGTTTTGAGTTCCAGCCCCGCGTCGGGCTCTGTGCTGACAGCTTGGAGCCTGGATCCTGCTTCTGATTCTGTGTCTCCCTCTCACTCTGTCACTCAGGCCCTCCCCTGCTTGTGCTCTGTCTCTCTGTCTCTCAGAAACAAATAAATATTTAAAAAAAATTTTTTTTAATGCCAAGTATGGACCCCTTGGATAAGGAAGGGGATTAAGACCCGTCAGTGCCCTGAAGCTGCTCCCAATGGAGCAGAGCTCTGCCCCCAAAAGAAAGAGGAATGGAAGCCTGGTGGCCACATTACCACGCATCTTCCTCAAGATTCTACCTGGGCATCTCACAGGAGGGACCCTAAAAGGGAGGCAAGAAAGGGTACTGACCCATCTGGGCCACACAGGTAGCAAAGGCCACTTTTCTAGGGACACCCCGAGTCAGAAGTGTGATGTGGGCTGGGCAGCAGAGGAGCTGTCCTTCCTTGTGCCATGGGGAGGTACCAGGACGGTCCCCATCTGAGAAAGGGCCAAGGGGCCAAGGGTCCTGGCCATGCTCAGGCTATTCTTCCGAGGACAGAAGGAAAGACAAACAGAAGTAGGCTCAGTCCAAAATATCTTTTATATACATGGTTTATTCCTCCCGACCCCCACGCTACAACCCCAGCCTCAGCCGCCCTCCCAGCATGGAGCTGCCTGCCACCTCCTCTCTCAGGGGCCTCCTCTCTTGGGACTGGATCTCCGGAGGTGAAGTGGGTAAAAGGAGGGGGCCCTAGCACAAGGTGGTTCCCCTGTGCCTTCAGCCCTCACTCTCCAAGAGGGGAGAAAAGAGAAAAGAGGAAGGCAGCACAGAACTGGGGTTCAAATACTCTAGAAGCTACAAGATAGAAGACAAAAGTAGCACACTCTGGGGAAGGGAGGGAGCAGGAAGGAACCGAGGCCAGATCCCGCCCCCCCCCAGGGGGGGATGGCAATCCCAGGGCTCAGAGGGGCAAGGGGCAGGACTGGGGAAAGAATAAAGATCAGGGGTAGAGGAGCCCAAGGATGGTCCCACCCTGGTCTGGACTCCTGGGCACAGGGCAAGTGAGGCTCGCGGAACCCCTGCACTTGGCAATGCATGGGTGGATGGAGACCTACAGCTTGGTCAGGTCCAGCTTCAGCTTGTAGGGTGGGGGGCTGTCCCCAAAAGCATGCGACGGGGGAGGGTACAGGGGCCAGTCTGGCTCTACCATGAAGCCCTTGTGCTGCTCCAGGGTCAGGGGCTGCAGGGGGAGGAAGAGGGATGGAGGGAGGGCTAATGAGCTCCCACCCTGCCAAGGCTCCTTCCCACCCCTGATCTCAGCTCACCCCGACCGTGGCTTGGCCTTGTTCCCCCCATTTCATAAGGAAGTGAAGAAACTTGCCCAGTGTCACACAACAGGTCAGGGGACCCTGCCTCCAGGGGAGAGTGAGTGGCCCAACTCAGGACCAGGCAGCAGCCCTTCTCCCACCCCTCCACCGGGCCCCGCCCACCTGAAACTTGAGGTGCTGGCCAGGTGCGGTCACCAGGGTGGAGCAGCTCAGCCACAACATCACCAGCACAGAAAGGAAGAGGCAGCAGGCCAGGATCCAGCGGGGGAGCCCTGAGCGCCTGACCCGCCCAGAAGGCATGCTCAGCGGTCCCAGTGGGGTCTGGGAGACCCTCCCCTCCAGCTCCACTCCCATCCCACCCCCAGGGTCCCGCCACCCACCGGGACATGCAGCTGAGGAAGTCGTTGTCCTGCAGTTCATCGGACTCCACCTTGGCCTTGCTGCTGGTCTTGACTCGGATCTTGGCCTTCCTCACCTTGTCCAAGGGGCCTACAGGGTCTGAGACAGGTCAACTCTTAGCAATTCCCAGACCTCCCCCAAGAGCCCAAAGCAGCCATGGAGAGGAGAAAGGAGGCCAGGACCTATGGCAATGGGACATGCAGTCCTGGAATAAATGAGGACCCTGGGAAATGGACCATGGAACTCTAGGAGATGGATCATGGAATTCTGGGGATAGAGCATGGAGGCCTAGGAGGCAGACCATGGAACGTAGGAAGATGAATCACAAAATCCTGGGAGATGGACCATGGAATCCTGGGAAGTAGACCACAGAACCATGAGATGGATCCTGGAAACCTGAGAGATGGACCAAGGAACTCAAAGAGTTGAGAAATTGAAGTCCCATTCCCAGAGCTTCATTTGCCAGGACTCCCGATGGCAGTGGACCCACCTGTGGAAGGATCACTGGTCTCGCCTCAGAACTTACCCACGTGTACCTCCAAGGCCTCAGGGTGGGATCCCCGCCAGGTCACCTCTACTCGCTGCAGACGGGCCCCTTCATGCCCCAGGCTCTCTACCACAGGCTGGGTCTGGGTCAGGAGCAAGACAGCACAGAAGAGCCATTTTAGAAAGGCACCACCTTAGCCCCGGGAAGCACATCTCTGTCCCATGCAGGCTACCTTGTCCCATGCCAACTGGCCCATAGTTCCACTGGGTGCAGAGAGGGCACCTTTCCATGGGGCTCTGGGCTGTGACATCGGGGATGTGGTTCCCTGCTGTTATGGGCATCTCAATTCATCTTGACCCCATCTTTTAGCTCCTGACCAAGCCAATAGTCACAGGGATTGGCTGAGAGATGGTCACATGACCCAGCCAGGGCCAATCGAAGTAAGCCCCAATGTAGTTAAAACTTCAGAGCGGTTATAATCTAGAGCCTTAGGCATCTTCCCAGCTATCGGGAGGGAAGAGCTTGCTGGGGAATGAAGCCACAACAAAGAAAAGCAGAGTCAAAGAAGGGAGTGAGCCAGTCAACCCCTGAATCTAGCTGTGTCTGAACCTTGACCACCCGAGGACTTTGCATCCCATGAGCCAAGAACCAGTGCATGCCACCTTCTTACCCTTACCACCCACCCACCACACTGGTGTGGCCCCTGCCAGACCCCCTCACCTGGAACACCACCACCTTCCCATTGTCAGTCTGCAGGTAGTAGGTCCAGGTGGAGGAGACGAAGCCCTGGGCCGAGTTGACAAGGTCATTGCAGAGGGTAGAAAACAAGTCCAGGAGTGAAAGGGCCCCACTTGGAGCTTCCAGGACCTTTCTCTGCCAAGGGAAGGCCCAAGGCACAGAAATGTCACCAAGGTGGGGCATTAACCAACGGGAGGGGAGCTGGGAGCATTCACTACGATTGGAAATTTACTAAGTGGTTTGGGGCAGTTGGGCTTCGTACAATGAACACAGGCCTAGGAGCTGCATTTGGCTTGCTGTTGCCCTTGGAGAAGTGGATTGCCCTCTCTGAACCTTAAAATGGGGATGATTCTCTTCCCTCATGGGGTTGTTATGAGAGTTCAACTAGACAAGGGCACAGCACAAGTGCCTAATATGCGGTAGCTGCTATTGTTAGGTTTTTCACCATCATCATACTTATTTTGACAGCTTCAGTAGAGAATGCAGAGGAGGAAGGAATGATAGCGCAGTGCTTTTATGAACAGTGAAGGCTGGAGGGGGTGGAGGAAAATGGGGGAAGGGGGAAGGGCTTTCTGGGGAATCAGCCCATGGGTGTCTGGCTGTGAGGAATGATTTCCTGCGCCTTAGTTTCCCCAGATATAGCGCTTCCTAGATGCACTCAGGTGAGCCATTATTATTTCTCCCTGCAGTGGGGGTGGGGGAGTTGCCCCCCCTGAAACTCAGTTCTGAGCCCCCCCCCTTATCCGTGACAGTGGCCACCTGTTCATCACAAGGAAAGTGCTTAGACTGGCACCTGGCATGCAGTAAGTGCCCAATAAAGTCAGCTCTGACAACACAGAACACGAGGGAGGGGAGAGGTGGTCATGAGCCTTGGTACTGGCTTTAAATTCCATCTGGTACAGCCCTTACTGTATGGACATGGGTAGTTGCTTCGTAGGCATGAAATGGGAGTGACTCTGTCCCAGGTGCCTCTAGGTAGCATGAGGAATTTGGGACAGGCTGTGACCGAGCCTGCTTATCAAATGATTGATAAACAGTGGCTTTTTTCTGCCATTTACTACTTGCAAGGTGGCGGGAGGGGAGAGTACTTCACATATCACAGAGGTGGTCATTGAGGCTTGAGTCATGACTCCATCCAGGACACCCAGGAAGCCCAGAATGGACTGCAGAGCTTGAGAGACTCTGGACATGAGTGCAAGTTTGCGGGGAGGGGGTAGAGAAGAGTGGTGACGACCCCAGGGCCACAGGCGGCAGGGTGCCCACCTTCTGCTCTGGCTCTGGCTCCGGCTCCGGCTCCGGCTCCGGCTCCGGGTTCTGGCTCCAGCAGCCCTCGCTGCAGGCCTGCTGCTCCGTCTCTTTCACATAGGCCTCCACACAGGCTGGGGGGTGGGATGAAGTGGGGAGGGGGCAGGAGGGCTGACTAAAGGGCGACCCTTCCCAGGCCACCCCTCCCCACCCTGGCCACCCAGCCAGCCCTCACCTGCTTCACACTCAGTCTGGGTGGCATTGGGCTTGGAGCTCCTGGCCACGAATCGGCAGATGGAGAAGAGGCGGCAGCCACGCTCACAAGCACTGATCAGGACAGCCCTGTCATACTCATACGGGGACTCAGAGGGGTCCTCCTCCTCAAGCTCTGCCTGGGGGGGAGGGCGCCACGGGGCTCAGGTCAATGGGAGGGGCAGGAGGAGGTGTGCACTGGAAGCACCTGCTCAAAGCAGGAGGTAGAAGATATGTGGTCCTCTCCCTCCTCTCCTCCCCCGCTCCCTGCACCAAATCCAGAGAGATTGAGGTGGGGAGAAGGCTAAGAATATTAGTGGGGGTTCTTAGCTTTGAGGAAGAAAGAAGGGGAGGGAGCTTGAGAAGCGGGGTGGGCTGTGGACGACACTGGGTTTCGGCAATGGTTGTAAAATGCATAAGATGGAGGGAAATGCCTTCCCCCCACCAAGGCTCCAGGAAGGAGGGCAGAGATTTGAGGTGGATTCTCAAGCCTCAGGAAGGAGGGAGGAGGCTATTGTCATATTTTCTGGCCTGGGAAAATGGAGATCCAGCAGGGGGGGTGGGGGGCTGAGGATGTGAATGAGGGCTGGAAGCTGGGGGGGGGGTAGGGAGGAGGATGTGGAAGTCGCTTAGGTGGAGGAGGAGGACCGTCAGGCCTGAGGGACGTGGGGGATGGGCGCTCCGAGGGTCTTTGCGCAGCAGAGGGCAGCCAGAGGCGGGGAGGTAGCCCAAGACACCTCAGTCCCCTCCCAGCCCCTCCCTTGGAGGGAACCCCCCAACTCCGCATTCATCAGAAGGACTTGCATCTCCAAACCCTCCCTCATCAGAGGGACCCCCCCCAGCCCTCCCTCTGCGGGAGGAGCAACTCCCCATCCCCATCCGAGGGACACCCGATCCGTGCGCTTGCCTCAATAGAAGAGACTCCAACCCTTCCCTCACCAGAGGGACCCACCTCCATTGCTGAAGCCCCATTTCCGACTCTTTCCCCCTCCGAAGAACCCCAGTCTCGCGTTCCCCACTGAGGGAACCGCATCCCCAACCCCTCCCCCACCAGAGAGGTCTCGGGTCCTCCCGCTGGCGCTGCATGCGTTTCACCTGCGAGAGCTGCGGACCAGGATAGCGGTCGCGGCACCGCAGCTGGCAGCTCTGCGTATCCCCGAGTTGAGGGGCGAAGGGGTCGCGGGCGGGCGGCGCGGGGGTGGCAGGTGGAGGCTGCAGCAGCAGCAGCAGCAGCAGCGGCATCAGCGCCACCGAAGCCATGGCGCGAGGGGCTCGGGGGACGCCGGCTCCTGGCAGGCACGGAGGATGCAGCGGCGGCGGGGACCGGGTCGCTGACGTCACCCGAGCGAGGCAGCCTGGGAAGGGGGGGCGGGGGATGCGGAGAACGGGCGGGGGAGCTGCGCTGCGGCACCGTCGGGGAGTGGGTGGAGTGGGGCAGGTGGACTGTGATCCCCCGCCGTCTGTCCCATCTCGGGGGTGCCACGGCACCTCCTTCGTATGCACGGGCTAGAGGATCTCAGTCCGCGCTATGAGGCCAAAAGGAAATAAGTTGGGTGCTGGGATGGGGTGTCTATTCGCCAGGGGATTCAGCGAGGGCCTCCCCGAGAAGGCAAAGTTTGAGCTGACCAAGTGGGGAGGGCAATCCAGGCAAAAGTAACTGAGTGCCCTGAGGCGGCTAGGGGAGTGTTGGAAGAGGAGGGTGATGGTCCTGAAGCGAGAGAGTGGAGATGGAGGGACGTGAGGGTCACAAGACTGGGTCAAGTGAAGGCCTTGGGAAGGTCTGTGGCATCCAGTCTTTTGACACCCAAGTGAGAGGAGTGGTAACTTTGCAATTGGTTTGCCTCTTGTAGGAAGCCTTTCCGGGCCCTTCAGGGGTCCCCCAGCCTCGCCCCCTTCTGGCCCAGCCCTGATCCACAGGGTTGGGGGATCTAACACTCTCTCCCCCAGACTGGAAGCCCCTCGGCCCAGGGCTGAATGAGAGGGGGCACAGAGATGCATGTAGGTACGGGGTGTGGGTGCTGCTAAAATTCCTAATTCTTGTGGGAAAACTTGGGGACAAGCAGGGACATTTCTGGCTTCCATAACTGCCACACTCCAAGGTGACAGATTGAAACCCCCTGTATCTCGGTTTAAGAGGTCTCCCTAGCTTCCCCTCTGTCAGGCAGGGTAGTGTGGGCGCCTCTCTACGCTTAGGTCCCCTGTCCCTCGCTAGCTTGCCCGGTGCAGGTGCCTGCCGAGGTCGCGCCGCCGGCGGCTTGGCTTCCGTCTACGCTCCGCCCCCACAGACGGGGCGGCAGCCACGCGGGGTCGGTGGGTCAGAGGGCGCCGCAGGTTCCGGCCGAGGAGGAAGGGACCCGGGGAGGGGGGGCTGGCGCACCCCCTCCCCGGCCCGCCGCGGCGCTTTCATCTCCGCGGCCTCGGCCGGCCCCCACGTGGCTTAATCAGGCGCGGCTGTGCCTGGCGGACCCTGAACATCTGGATCCCGGCGCGGCCCCTCCCCCGCCCCGCCCCTCTTGGGCTACGCTGCTGCGACCCTGCGCCGAGGGCCTCCAGCCCGCGGTTTTCGCGAAAGCGAGGGAACCCCGGGTCTAAACCCTCGCGCGTTAGGCCCTGTGCCTTGGGAAGCAGCCGTTGGTTAAGACCAACACTGTCCCCCACTTCACAGGTGGGAAACTTAAGCCCCAGGACCCCTCAGCGGAGGTAGGATTCAAGCCCACACATGTCAATTCCAGAGCCCCGCGCGCCTAAGCCTTCCGCAGTCACTGTACTTCATTCAGTGCAAACAAAGCCCTTCCCAGGTGTGTTCTTGCAGCAACCCTATAAGGAAGTACCGGTAGCATTGTCCAATTTACAGATGAGGAAACTGAGGCTCAGGGTGGGAAAGGGGCTGGGCCCAGATACAAGCAAGAGAAGCAAAGAAACGCGGGCATGGGATGGGGCACCAGGCATAACAGGCGTCACTTAAAGAGCAACAGGAAAGAAGGACTCCCCGCATCCTTTGGGGGAAGGGGAAACTGAGGCTGGAGAGGTTGGGGCGCTGGCCTAGGTTGCCGGAGAAGAGCGAGAAGGCTTGGTTGCTGCCCACCCACCCCCCCTTCCGCTCTACGAGACCGCTGGGGGCGGGAGCGGAAGGAGGACTTGACCCTGGCCCCCCAGGTGAGCCCCCGCGCCCCTCCTGCCATTCCCGAGGGAGCAGGTCCAGGTGAGGGGCGGGAGGACCGGCGGGCGGCCGGGGTCGGGTTTCAGGAAATCCGCCGACATTCCTTCGGGGCTTAAGAGGGAAAGTTGACTCGGCGCCGCCCCTCGCCCCCCCCTACTTCCTACCCCCCGGGGCGGCCCGGCCGGGGGCGGCAGGCGCGGGGCGCTGCGGCCGGCCTGGGCGTGAATCAGCGGCGGGCCGGGCGTCCGGGAAGCGGCGGCCGAGGTCAGGGCGGGCATCGGACAAGCGCCCTTTGTCCCTTGCCGCCCTCACCACGACCCCGCTGACCCCCACCCCCAAGCTGGGTACAGGCTGAGGAGGAGGCACGGCACCGTGGCGCCGGCGCTTGCTGACAGTGGGGGGAGGAGGAGAAAGGGACACAGCTGTCCACCCCCCCCCCATACACACACACATACCGCAACTGGCTCCTCCTGGAACCCAGACATCCGAGGTTCTCCAGGGTGCGCAGGGGCCCTGACCTGAACCCAGGCAGCACTCCTGAGGCCCTACATCCAATGCCCATAGGGTCTGAATTGTTAAAGTTCAGTGCACAAAGCTTTGAACCGAGGCATCCCAGCTACCCCTGCTCAAGCTCCAGGGTAGCAAGGATAAAGCCCCACCTTCTCCTGCACACAGGTCCTGTCCCAACCTCATGTCCAGGTCTGGACCCTCACTGCCGCTGCCTCCTGGGAACACAGGCCTGGGACACAGGCTAATCCCATACTGAGGGGCCCTGAGCATTGAGATCTCAGCACGGGAGAAGCATCTCTGTGCTCTGCTCACTCCCAGTGGCCGTGGGTTCCTATGGGCCAGTGCTGTTACCACTGCTTCCTCCCCAGTGCCCCCTCAATGCCCTTCAATTACAGGGGGCTGGGGCTGGAGGGTCTCCCCCAACCTAATCCTTAGGTACAGAGTATGCAGACTAAGGAGGCGTCCTCCCCCAGCCCATGTGGGGCCCTCTCTCCATCTGTCCCCTCAGTACATTCCCCGCCACCTTCAAGGACTTGGGTCAATATTTGCCAGTGCTGGTTCCCCTTCCTTCGCAAAAGGCTGTGGATTGGGAAGGAAGGGGTTAAACCACTGGGAGTGCCGTGGGCTGGGAAGTGTGCACCCAGGGGTCAAATCTCTTTCCTTAAAGTCAAAGGTATGAAGAAAAGGATACCCAGAAGGTAGAGGGCATGCTCCAGGGCAGGGCTGGGCAAATGATCCTTACCCTTCTATTGGTACGGACCAGAGAGGGATGGTTACTAGCTTGGGTAACACAGCAGATCAGGGGCGTGTGGGACTCACTGGGACCCCAGGCAGCATAATTCACAGAGACTGTTTTGTAGGTATTTGGAAGGACTGAAAATTCTCCATCCTTTTATTTTGCAAATATTCATTGAGCTTTTTCTCTTGTGGCCCTCACTGGGCCCAGCATGAGGTCCTAATGGCTCTCAGGGCACTCAGAGTCTAAAGAAAATAAGTCTCAAGAGAAATACAGTGTTCCAAGAGTTGTGTTACAAAGACAACTTGAAAAGGTGAAGGGGTAGAAGGGTGCCTGGTAAGGGCGGAGGTCTGCCCTCTGAGGTGACACTTGACCTGTGACCTGATGGAAGATAAGGTGCTAAGTGGGGGGAGTTTGGGGGGAACTGCATCTCTACGGATGGAACAGCAAATCCACAAAGACCCTGTGATAGCAACAAGCCCAATGTGTTTGGGGAAACAGGGCTGCAGTGGCTGGAGCGAAGTGAAGGAGAGGAAGGGGAAAAAGAGAGTGGAAGAGAGAAAGGGAGAGGAGGGGGGATAGGATGGCTGGACAGAGAAGACCTGCTTTGCTCCTTTTAAAAGGTCCTTCCGCCTGCCGTGCAGACCAGGGCAGGAGGGTCACGGGGGAAGCCCAGGAGGAGGCGGGGCAGTATCCCAGAGGGAGATGGTGGGGCCTGGACCGGCACGGGGTGGGGAGAAGGGGTCAGAATCTCAGAATGGGGATGTGTTTTGGAATCAGAGCCAACAGGATTTGCTGATGGATTGGACGTGGGGGATGAGCGAAGGAGAGAGTTGTCACGCACGCCTCCAGGTCTCTGGCCTGAGCACCTGGGTAGATGGAGGAGCCTTTTTCCAAAGCCCGAGAATGACTGGGGGAGGAGCAGAGATGGGGGGGGAGCGAGGTGGGGGAATATCAAGATCTCACTCCAGAAGTCTTAAGTCCTCCTGGAGGGAGTCAAACTTTGCAGGGTAAAGGTTGTGGGGGAGGGGTTGCTCATATCCTGAAAGCAATTCTGGTGAAGAACTGCCAATGCCTTTTAATCATCTGACCACCTGGCAGGTGGAACTCTGGCCTGTTTTTCAGAGGTGACAAACTGAGGCCTGGGGACCATCTCTGCTGCAAAAGAACATGCCTCCACTGCCGACGGCAGTGCCAAGGGCTTAGATTGTGGAACCTTCTGTAGCATTGCATCTTCTCACAGAAGACCTTAGGCTGGCTGGGAGCCGCCCATTGCACAGAGGGTAAAATTGAGGCCTGATTGCATCAGTGAATGGCAGTGTACCACTCCAGGGCTTTACTCTCCCCCTGATAAACCCACCCAGAATCCAGGTTGTGGGTGTGCAGAGCCCCCAGGATCCTGTCCTCCAATCCTCATTTCTGACAATCTGGGGTCTGAGTTGGGGATCCAAGTAACAGGAGTGGAGGGTAGTTTTTGAGCAAACAAGGTGAGGACTCCTGAGCCACCCTCAGAAACTTTTACCCCTCTGGCTGGTTAGGGACATGGAGAGAGAGGGTCCAGGCCTCTAAGGGAACCCCCCTGTAAGGGGAAGTTAGAGCCCTGTCTCTCTCTGGGCACACCGCTGGGGGCAGGGCTGAGACTCAAACCTCGGGGCTGGAGGCGTCCCTGGAACTCTAATTTCAAGCACCCCCTAAACCTCCGCCTCAGAGGCCAGGAGCCTTTCTATCTTGGGCACTGCATCGGGTGCTGACCGAGAAGCGGGGAGTGAGGCGCCCGGGCCAGGATGGGTCCCGAAACTCAAGCAGTGGCCAAAAATAATATCACGGAGAAGAATCCCGGCGCAAGAAAAGGAAGACAAACTATGCGTCGCTCCGGGCAGCCGGCGTTACCTGGAGTCGGCGGGCGGCGGCCGCCGGAGCTATTACTCACTGCGTGGCGCACCCCACCCGCGGGCCGCTGAACTGATTTTTCCGTGGGGAGGGGTGTCAGCGAGTCGGGGTGGGCCTCCTTACCACTCTCCTTCTGGGTACCCTTCCCGTGTCGCTTGCGGGACCGGGGCAAATCCCCGTCCCCGCTCCCACCAGGTCCTATTTCTCGCAGTCTATCCGCGCAGGAGCTCCCTCCTAAGGCCCCTAGGGCCCCCCGAGGAACCTCAGCCCTGTTCTGCGTGAAGGGGACAGCTGAGCCAGGGCAGGGCCGGGGACTCCGTTGGCTTCCAGCTTTTTCTCAGTCTTCCCTCCAGCAAAGCCTGGGACCGAGGCTGCGCGCGGAGAACCGAGGAGAGGCGGGATGAAGTGGGAGGCGGGGGGCGTTGGGATCCGCGCGCGCCCAGGGCGTGGGGCTGGGGGATACGACTCTCAGGCCCCTGGGGAAGAAGGGGGGTTGGAAATGGGAGCAGGCGGGGCTCAGGGACCACTCAGTAGGGGGTGGGGCCAAAAGCCGGGGTGGGGGCCGAAGCAGGATGGGGGGGAGGAGCGGGCCAGGGCTGGGGGCCGCTGGGGACACTTAAGGGGCACAGGGCTGAGAGCAGGGTGCAGGGAAGTGGGCAGGGGTATGAAAACGGGGTTGGGGGCGCCAGGTCCCAGATTGGGGGTGGGGAGCCTGGAGCTGGCGGGGTTGGAAAGAGTTCTCAGGCTGGTAGGCGCTGAGCGGGGGCTTCCGGGCCGCGGGACAGGGCGCGCGCGGTGTGCGGCGGGGCGGAGGCCGGACGGGTGGGGCGCGCGGTGCCCGCGGGCGGGCGGGCGGCGGGGAGGCCGGTGCGGGGCCCGCCGCCCCCCCGGGGCCGGGCCGGGCCGGGGGCGGGGCCGGGCGGGGCCAGCGGCGCATTAGCGCCTTGTCAATTCGGCTGCTCAGACTTGCTCCGGCCTCCGCGCCCGCGCCCAGCGACGTGCGGGCTGCCTGGCCCGCGCCCTCCCGCGCCGGCCTCGAGCCCCGCGCCCCGCGCCGCCGCAGCCGCCGCCCGCCGCCTCCTGCCGCGCGCCCCCGGCAGCGCCGGCCCCATGCCCGCCGGCCGCCCGGGCCCCGCCGCCCAATCCGCGCGGCGGCCGCCGCCGCTGCTGCCCCTACTGCTACTCTGCGTCCTCGGGGCGCCGAGAGCCGGATCAGGAGCCCGTGAGTACCCGGCGTCCTGTTCCCTTCTTCCCGCCAGGGCCGAGAGCGTGCGCCCCGGGGGCAGCTGCGGGGGGAGGGGGCGCGGGCGCCACCTGGACGGCCCGGGAACAAAGGAAGGCGCCCCCGGCGCGGCCCTCGGGGCGCCCTCACCTGCGGGGCGCACGGCGCCGCAGTCCTCTGGCCAGAGGGTCCGGCTTCCGCGCCCTAGGCCTTCTTACCTGGGCCGCCCGGCCGGGGATACCCGGCCCTGCTCTGGCTGGGGTCGGGGGTGCCGCGGCCTGGGACTCGCTGAACTCCAGGACGCGGCGGGTGCACGCAACAGCGCCCGTGGACTCGGAGCCGTGGAGACCAAAGGGCACCGCTCCCAGTCAGGGGCGCACGCGGTAGGCGCGTTGGGTGCTGGCGCCGGGCGCCCCCCCGCCCCGAGTGGAGGGATGAGCCCCGCGAGGAAGGCGGGGCGGCGGGAGGGGGGCCGCTCTGGCCGCCTGGCGCGCGGCCCGGGGTCCCCGGGGACGCGCCTCTCCGCGGGCCGGCGCCGCCGCCCTCCCCTGGCGGGACCCCGCGCTCGGGGGTCCGCGGAGTCCCAGCCACCGGCGGGCTCGGAACCATTCCTGGCCAGACTGCGCGGGGCTGAAAGCCTCCAGCGAGAGAAATCTTTGTGAGCGAGTGGGTGAGAGTGAGAGGGAGCAGGAGCCAGCGAGTCCGGGCACCGCTGGCCCAGCCTTGGTGTGTGTGTGGGGGGGGGGGTGGCTGGGGGACAACAGGGAACCCACAGCCCTCAGGCCAAGACCCCCACCCTGTCAGGAGATCCTGGCCTCCGGGGCTCTCTGTCCTCCCCACCAGAAGCACACCCCCTCCAGGACATCGTCTCTACATCCAGACCCTCTCTGGGACACACCCAGAGACACACAAAGACACACTGGCTTGTGGCCCGTCACCCTCGCCCTCAGATGAGCGCACACTGCATCCCAGATGCACATTCGCACACCATCGGGGCGCGCGCACACACATTCCATCCCTGACACACACACATTCGTGGTCACACACATTCCTCCGGGGGAGGCAACACAGGGGTATACACGCAGGCACAGCCTGCCCTAGACGTTCACAGTCACTCCATGCACCCCGTCCAGGCGCACGGGTGGCTGGGGGCCAGCTTCCTGTGGTGCTCCTCCAGAAAGGATGGGGTCCGGGCACCCCCTGGGGGCACTTGCTGAAAGCCCGGCATGCCCAAGGTGCCTGGGCAGGTGAGGGGCTGACCCAGGCCCTCCCGGGGTCCCTGGCAACAATGCTAGGCAGTGAGCAGAGCCTGTAAGTGCCACTGTTAGTGGCCGGCTTTGTTTCCCAGCCCATAGAGCAGCAGGCAAAGGTGGTGGTGGTTGGCGGGATTGTTGTGCGTGTGTTTTTGCCTTTAAGAGGGAAGAAATTAAATAAAAGATTCTCACACCTCAGCAATATGTTTCTACTTACGGTGTGTCTTAGCACCTGACCAGCAGGCGGGTGGGTCGTAAAGTGTCTGCAGGTACCAGCGGGACAGGAGATGGGGACCCCTGTCGGGACCCTGGGATGGAGGCCACCCTCCTGCCTTGCTTGCAGAGAATCTCACACTTTTCCCTTTTAAAACACATGGTGTTCCTTTTTAATAACGGCAGTGGCTCCAGATTGGGAAGGGAGAAGGAAAAAACTTTTAAAGGCCCCAGCTCTGTGTGAAAGGCAGGGAGCAAGGGGAGGGGGGTGGCTGTCCAAAAGCTTAGCTCAGGGCTCTGCTTTGGGGAGCCTCCTAGGAGGCCCCCCAAACCAGGCAAGGGCCCCTACAACCTTAGTGGGCTGTTCCCAGCTGCTTTCCCCTGGCCTGGAATGTGTGCATCCAGGTCCCAAGCGCCTTGGCCCATTGTTTGGGGAGACCCGAAGGGAGTTGGAAGCCGACTGGGACCCCAGAACTGGGAAGGGCTGTAACTCTAATAGTTCCTAGATGCTGCAATGTGCTGGGCCCTCTGGACATCATGATGTCATCTCATTAATCTCCCCAACAGGTAGAATGTATTTTCCTCCCATTTTATGGAGGAGGAAACTGAGAGCAGGAGAGGGGAAGCCAATTGCTCAGGTGCTCCAGCTGGGATTGGCACCGATGTCCCAGGAGAAGTCCTCATTCTGACCTTTCCTGGTGGAACTTGGCGGGGGGGGGGGGGCTGGCCTGTCCAGGCCCGCCTGGCCTTGCCCTCTCGCCCTGTCCCCCGCCCAGCCCCAGGAGGGCAGCTGCAGCTGCTGGCAGGCAGGCCAAGCCAGCCCAGGCCAGGCGGGTGTGGCAGAGGGGCAGTGCCCCCCAGCCAAGACCCCCCAGCGAGCCCCTTCCTGGCTAAGGCGATGCTGGTGGGTGGGGGACAGGAGGGGCGTGACCTACTCCCAAACCGTTGAGAGTGGGCCTGGGGTCCAGGCAGGCCTGGCCGTGCCTCCCACCCTGGTGGGGGGGCCCAGGCAGGAAGCGGTGGGTGGGCCGGGGCAGAGACGCTGGCACGCCCGAGTTCATGCCGAAGGAATTCCGAATTAGCGGGCGGCTGGCTGCCTGGGACCTCCGGGGCGGCCCCCTGGCCCCCGCCCCCGGCCGCCCCCGCCTCCTCGGCTCTGGCCCGCTCAGCCGGCTCCTTCGCACGGACGCTGAGACCTCCGGCGAGCCCTGGGCCAAGCCCCAAACGCAACTGTGATCCCAGGCTCCAGCAAGAAATGGCCCTCAAGCCAAGTTTGCCCCGGAAAATTGTCCGGGCCAGTGGGGAGAACCACGTCCACCCTACCTCGCCCATCTGGGGCAGTGAGGGCCAGGACAGGGCAGCCACTGGCATTCGGGGTGCCCCCCAAGGGGCCAGGATCACCCTGTCCTTGGCTGCCTTCTTAGGGAAGCTGGGCTACCCCCACCCCCCTGCCCCCCTGCAGCCCCTTTTACAGCTGCCTGGGAATCCTTTTAAAATGTAAATCTTCCCCTGTTAGGAGCCCTGGAATAACCCCGCCCTGCAGGTCTGGCGTTGCTGACCTCCCAGACCTCATTCCCCACCACTCCTGCCCCAGGACCTTTGCACTTGCAGCTCCCACTGCCTGGACACTCTCTCCCAGATGTTTTCATGATTACTTCTTTCACTTTATTCAGGTCTCAGCTCAAACGCCTCCCCAGATAGGCCTCCTGGGGGTGCGCTTCGCTTTCTCCCTTATTTATTCTTAGTTACTTATTTGTTCTTTTTCCTATTGCTCCCTTGGATTCAGGCCCACAAGGGCAGAAATTTTGAGTATCTTGGTCACCATTGTGCCCTCCGCTCCTAGCAAACTGTAGGTGTTCCCTGCATGCATGCATGAATGAATGAACAAATGAGTGACTGGGTCCTCATAACTGCTGTTGGTGGAGGGAGAGAGGCTCTTTCCCAGAGGCTCAAAGAAACAAAGCAAATGGGCCAAGCTTTCACAGTGAGCTGGAGGCATCTGACCCCAGGCCCGCCTGTGGCTTCAACGTCCCACAGGGTTGTCGTTAAGACAATGTTTTCACTCCTCTCAAACGTGTGTTACCATGACGCCCACTTTCCAGATGGGGAGACTGAGAGGGGTGTCAGGGCCTTGGACTGTGCAGCCCCCCGCCCTTATCTGGACCTTGGCTTCTCCTTGGATCAAAACAGACTCTTCTTAGGTTCTGACCCCCTCAGGAGACAGGAGGGGAGACATCAACCATGGTGTCCCCGGGACCCTTGTGCCCAGCACCTAATTCTACACATTCTCATTTAGGAAGTCATTTCTCATCTGATCTTCACAATGGCCCTAAGGCATCATTAGCTTTCTGATTCCCACTTTGCAGGTTAGGAGCAATGAGTTGAAGGAAAGAGCAATGACAGCAAGTCCCTTTGGGTGGGGGCTGGGGGCCTAGAGTTTGCCCCAGCCTCCTTCAGCTCCAGCAGCACAGAGCAGCACAGAGCGACAAATCTGGGTTTCAGTAGCGTGCCCTTCTCTCATCCAATGACTTTGGACAAGAGATGAGTCTCAGAGCCTCAGTTCTTTCAACCACAAGATTAGCAGGATTCTAGTAGGAGTCAAGAAGTGTCTGCCTCCCCCTCCAAAGACATACCTACTATGTGTGTGCCTGCAGGGGTATCAATCTTTTATTTCTAGTTGCCAACAATGACATGAAAAAAGAAAAGAAAAAGCAGAATGTAGTAGTTGTCAGACTGTGTGCAAAGCAAGATTTACTGGAGTCTGAATGGGCAGTTATGCCTGGGTTTTGTGACCACTCCCAGAGCCTTGAGCAAGCCCGTGAAGAAGCGGCTTGGAAGGACTCTGAGTTGTGGAATCACAACAGTCCTGAGGCTGAATCTTGGCTTTGCCGACAACCTTGGACTGGTCACTTGGCCCAGTTGAACCTCAGTTTCCTTATCTGTGAAATGGGAGACAAGAACAAACAGCTCCTGTGGAGGACTGCCGCGAGTCCGGGAGTCCTAGCCTGGGGTGGGGGGGGCTCAGGGCAGCTCCATCATCTCACACCTGATGGGCACTCCTCTCTGACCCCAGACACGGCTGTCATCAGCCCCCAGGACCCCACGCTCCTCATCGGCTCCTCCCTGCAGGCCACATGCTCAGTGCACGGGGACCCGCCAGGCGCCACAGCTGAGGGCCTCTACTGGACCCTCAACGGGCGCCGCCTAGCCCCTGAGCTCTCCCGTGTGCTCAACGCCTCCACCCTGGCCCTCGCCCTGGCCAACCTCAACGGATCCAGGCAACAGTCAGGTGACAACCTCGTGTGCCACGCTCGTGACGGCAGCATCCTGGCCGGCTCCTGTCTCTACGTTGGCTGTAAGTGGGCCCCCAGGACGTCCAGGGGTAACTCTTGGGAGAGACGCATGAATCACGGACCCTCTGGCCCAGGACTCAACAGTGGGCATGCCGGTTGAGAAGCAGGGACCTCTGGGGTGGACGTGAGAGCCTGGAAAGAATCTATCCCCAGGAAAGTCTTACCAACAGCCACTCCGGTCACCCTCCTTCTGCTCCAAGACGGGGGCCCAGCTGGTGGCTAGCAACTTCACCTGTCCAGGGCTGGGCCAGACCCTCAGCCCCCTGCACCCCCTTCCCCAGTGCCCCCAGAGAAACCCTTCAACATCAGTTGCTGGTCCAAGAACATGAAGGACCTGACCTGCCGCTGGACGCCGGGGGCCCATGGGGAAACCTTCCTCCACACCAACTACTCTCTCAAGTACAAGCTGAGGTTGGTGGTGGCCCTTGGGTGAGGTGTGTTCCAGCCTGGCTGTGAGGTCTCGGCAAAGCCCGCCCTCTCCAGGCCAGGGGTCCCTTCTGCCCTCTGGGGCTGCCAGGGGGAGGTCTGGGGGCCTGAAGAGACCCTTGTGTGTCCTCACACCCCCTCCTGCCCTGCAGGTGGTACGGGCAGGACAACACGTGTGAGGAGTACCACACGGTGGGGCCTCACTCCTGCCACATCCCCAAGGACCTGGCTCTCTTTACGCCCTATGAGATCTGGGTAGAGGCCACCAACCGGCTGGGCTCGGCCCGCTCCGATGTGCTCACCCTGGACATCCTGGATGTGGGTGAGCCCCCCACCCCAGCTCCTAGGCCCCCGAGGGTGCCTGCACCTCCTCTCTCAGCTCAGCCCGTGGCTGCAGCTCCAGCTCCGACCCGACCCTGCTTGGGGCCGGGAGAAACGAGGCATCCACCCATCCGTCCCCAGTCCCCTGAAGGAGCCAGGATCCCCCCACTCTGTGGAGAACACCTGGCCTGGGCTGCCTCCCCCTCGGCAGCCCAGGTGTGCAGGAGGGGGCCCCAAGGGAGCAGGGAGGGGGCGCCCAGGTCGGGAGGCGCCCCAGGAAGCCTCAGCCTGGAGCTGGGGGGGGCGGTGCGCAGGCGGGAGGCAGGAAACGGATGATCTGCGAGCAGAATTGGGCCTAATCTAATTAGGGTGTTTCTCAGCCCCTAGCAGGCTTGTGCCTTAACCCTTTCAGACCCTCACCAAGGCCTCAGGGGGAGAGGCCAGACCTCTCTGCTGCCCACAGGGCTCCCAGAAGGATACCCAGAAGGCTTGTAGCCACCCCCCGCCCCAGTCGGCTTCCTGCTTTGCTTCCCCAAGTCCTGAAGCTGCAGTGGGCAGGCTCTGAGCCTCAGTCTTCCCTCTGTACCAGCAAGGCTGTCATTTGAAAACCTTTGTAAAGGAGGAAGGTCTGGAGGTGCAGGTGGGCATGTGGCGGCGGGGGGGTGGGGGGGGGCCGGGGAATCAGGAGGAACTTCCCAGGGGTCTGGCAGCCTAATGGTCCCCTGGCCTCCTGGGCATAACAACAAGAGCATCAGCCAGGCAGTGTCTGCTTTTACATAGTTCCCCGAAGATAGGATTATGTTTCTCCTGTCACAGATAATAATGGTGATAACAGCTAACATTAATTGAGTGCTTCTAGGTGCTGAGTGTTTCCCAAATATTATCTAATGTAATCCACTCTTCTTGAAAGGGGGTGGGGGGCCAGGGCAGACCCCAGGCAGGTGCCACCAAAGCCCTGTGCTCTGAGATTTGAATCCAGACACCTGGGTTCCTGGGACAGCTAAGTGATCAAGCCCTGCCCCGCCCCACAGTGACCACCGACCCCCCACCCGATGTGCACGTGAGCCGAGTTGGGGGCCTGGAGGACCAGTTGAGTGTGCGCTGGGTTTCCCCGCCAGCCCTCAAGGACTTCCTCTTCCAAGCCAAGTACCAAATCCGCTACCGAGTGGAGGACAGCGTGGATTGGAAGGTGTCGGACGCCCCCACAAGCACCCCACCCCCACCCCTGGCGCCTCCCCCGCCCCTGGCCTCTGACCCTGCCACTGCCACCAGGTGGTGGACGATGTGAGCAACCAGACCTCGTGCCGTCTGGCCGGCCTGAAGCCAGGCACGGTCTACTTCGTGCAAGTGCGCTGCAATCCCTTCGGCATCTACGGCTCCAAGAAGGCAGGAATCTGGAGCGAGTGGAGCCACCCCACGGCCGCCTCCACCCCTCGCAGTGGTGAGCACCCTAACAGGGCTGGGTGGTCAGGAGCCCCATCCCAAAGCAGCCAGAGCCTCTGTCTCTTTGTTTCCTCCAAGAGAGCAGAGGTCTCAAGTTGGTGACCCCAGTGGCCAAGTGTGGCCCTTGGGTCCATTTTCTTAGATCTGTCATTTGACAAAAAAAAAACAGCTTGACCTGTTTGCAGACATTTAAAACCAGGAAGTTTTAACACAAATATTATAGGTTTCCTAGAAAAATGAATCATCCAGAAAATGTTGGGGTGCCTGGCTGGCTCAGTTGGAAAGGCACGCGACTCTTGATCTCAGCCTTGTGAGTTCAAGCCTCACGTTGGGTTTAGAGTACTTAAAAATAAAATCTTGAAAGAAGAAAATGTAACAGGACACAGCCAGAGCTGCTCCACAGCACCTGTCAGCAGGAGTGGCCCCTTCACTCAGGGCCCTCACTCTCCAGGGGTCCCATCCCCACCTGGCCCATTTTGCCCACCTGTACCCCCTCCCTAACCCCTAAAGGCAAGTGAGTTTGAGATCCCCGCTTCTGAGGCTGATGAGCTGCCAACTCTCCCTCTGCTGGGCCTTGGTTTCCCCTTCTGATCAAGGGAGCGTGGGGATGATCAGGGGCCCGAGTCTGACTTCCCTTGCCGTCTGGGGCTTCTCTAAGCCCATGAGCCTCCTTTCTCTGTGTGAAATGGTATGAAATATGTTAATTGAAATGTCTGCCCTCAGCTTTTCCATCTGGAAAGTGGGGACAATAATCATACCCACCTCAGACCATTGTTAGAGTTAGATGGGGTAATCCAAAAAAGTGCCCTCAAGGTGGGCGCCATCTAAGTGTTTGCAGGTAGTAGTTACTAAGGTTCCCATCTCCTGCTCCCCCATAATTTCACCCCAAGGGAGCCTCCTTTTCTCAGGTGAGGACACAGAGGCCCTAGGGGGTTCAGCCAGCCCCCAAGGTCACACAGGGATCTGAATTGTTTCCCTGAAGTCCAGGCCCATCCTCCAGGGACAATGGGGAAACTGAGGCCCAGAGGGTGTCTCAAAGCCAGGGAGGCGCAGAGCCAGCCTCCAGCCAGTTCCCCAGCCCCCATCCTGGGCCCCTCCAGGTTCTGGGGGTGGGCGGGAGCGAACGCGGCCGGGAGGGGCCTGCGCCTTGGCCCCTGCTCGTGCCCAGCACCTGCGATTCTTGCACACGAGCCAGCAGGCGGCTGCGTCCGCTGGAGAGGCTGGGGAGGCTGGGGGAGGCCAGCAGGGGCGGTGGGGGCCGTGGCCGTGCCAGGGCCTGTCAGCGGGTTCCCGGCGTTATTTATGACGTGAGGCCGATGTCCTTATCTGCCGGCCTGCTAGGGGCTGGCTGCGGCCGGCAGCTGGACCGACAGGCCGGCCTCCCACCTGGCCCTCCCGGCCCACTCCCCATCCCACTGGCTCCTGCTCTCAGGCCTGTCCTGGGGACTGTCCCTCCCCCTGTCCCCCTTGGGGTTCCCTCTCACTGTCTCCCTCCATCCCTCTGTCACTCTCTTCCCCTGTATCTCTCTGTATTTCTGCCTTCTTTGCTTTCTGTATCCCTACATCTCCATTGTCTCCAGTCCTCTCTTGAGCTTCTCCTTTCCTGTCCCTCTGCATCTCCTTGGCTATCCCCCATTGCTTTGGCCCTCCCGACATCTCCCTGTCTCTCCTTGTCTCCATCTTTCCATCTCTGCCTCTCTCTCTCTCTCCCTTTCTCTGTCCCCTGCTCTGTGTCTGGGTCTCATCCCTCTGGCCCTGGCTTCCCTCCTTCTCCCCTCCCTTCCACTCACACCTGGCTCTGGCCACGGGAATCAGTTTCCTGGAGGAGACATGGAGGAGGACCTCCTCCTTCCCCTGCCCCCTCCCTCCTCGGGGGCTCAGCTGGGCTGCCGTGCTGGGTGGTAGGGAGGAGCCCGGTCCCAGAGAAACCGGGAGGGAGGTGCCCGAGGGCAACACGGTCCCACCAAGCCGCGGAACCTCCCTCTCCTGCCCTCGCGCGCCCTCTGGCGGGCGCGTCGTGACACTGCCACTCCCCACTGCCCGCCCCCCCACCCCGCCCCGCCCCGCCCCGCCCCAATCAGAGCGTCCGGGCCCGGGCGGCGGGGCGTGCGAGCCGCGGGGCGGCGAGCCGAGCTCGGGGCCGGTGCGGCGCGAGCTCAAGCAGTTCCTGGGCTGGCTCAAGAAGCACGCGTACTGCTCGAACCTGAGCTTCCGCCTCTACGACCAGTGGCGAGCTTGGATGCAGAAGTCACACAAGACTCGCAACCAGGTAGGAAGGAGAGCCCCGCGGGCGAGGGATGGAGGGGTGAGGGCAGGGAGGGAATCGGGCCGGGGAGGTAGGTCCGCACCCCCAGACACTGCCTCCTTCCTTCCAAGCACAGGACGAGGGGATCCTGCCCTCGGGCAGACGGGGCACGACGAGAGGTAAGGCGGGCCCACCCCAGCTGGGTGGGTGGGCGGGTAAGGGAGGGAGACCAGGGCCCCTCTTGGTGGCCACAAGCCCGTGCCCCCCCCCCCCCCCCCCCCCCCCCCCCCCCCGCTCAGCCTTAGAGGGCTGAGATGGAAGCCCTTCCTACATCTTATTTCTCAGCTTTTACCAAACACCTAGTGATTACCTAGTCCCATGGCCTTTAGCCTCATAAAAGCATCTAACCCCGGAAAACGTCCAAAGTGGAATGTCATCCTCAAGAATGAACATACTCACCCCAGTTAGCATATATGAGCACCTACTGCATGCTCGCCCTGTGCCAAGCGCTTTACCCGCAGGACACCCTTTGGGACGAACAGATATTCTTCTCAAACGGGGAAACCAAGGCCCTGAAAGGGGCAGTACCCTACCCCTACTCAAGGTCACCAAGCTGAGAGTGGCAGGGCTGGGACCTGAACTGGGGCCTCCTCAACTGCTCTGCACTTGGCAGGGTACCTTTGGAGGGTACCGGCCCCTCCCAGGCTCCCTGCTTAGCTTGGCTTCCCCTCTGCCTGCAGGTCCTGCCAGCTAAGCTCTAGGGATGGGGCCACCCTCCCTGCTGCGTGGAGACCTGGGGGCGGCACCCCGACTGGGGGCTAACTCTGTACCCTCACCTCAGGGCACCGAGCACCCTCGGCAGGAGCTGGGGTGGGTGTTCTGAGGGTCACAACATCTTTGGCCTCCATGTGAGGCCACTCTTGGGTGCAACTCCAGTGGGAGGTGTGTGTGAGGATTGGCTAAGCTGCCCAGAACCCCTCCAGGGCTGGGGGTGAAGAGGGGGTCATTACTCCCCCCCCACCTCATCCAGGACCCCTGCAAAAAATCTTTTTAAATAAACAAGCTATTTAGGTGCCCTGATTGTGAAGATGTTTGGGGCTGGATTGGCCCAGGGTAGGGGCTGTGGGGTTTAGGGGAAGCAGGAGGAATCCTAATGACGCACCCTACGGGCTTGGGATCTCTGCTTCCCAGAATTTCAGACTCTGTCTCCCAGGATGTGAAATATCTCGTTTTGAGCTCATTGTAGGGTGTATATTCAGAACGTGAGTCCTACTGTCAAGGAGCCGGGGGAGTCATACCCGCCATCCCTAGCCTTGTGGGGCCTCCTCAGGGACACCCACTCCTGCACCCCGGGACGCAGAGACAGTGAAGCAGCTGCAGATGAAAGGTTCTTTATTGTGGGAGGCGCAGCGAACTCAAGGGCAGTCGGCGACCTGGTGGCGTGTGACCCTAGCCAGCTGACAGTCAGGGGGTAGACTGGGCGCCATTCATCTCATTTCCCATATGCCTTGGCGTGTCACTGGGGAGCCACCATCACTCGGCAGATTCTGCATCAAACCTAAGGTCCTGAAGAACCTCGCTGATCGCTTCCATGGTTTTAATTACCCTACAAGAGTGGAAGGGAACTATAAATAAAACCCAGATGGGGCGAATTAGCCACGACTGCGAAGCTCCTAGGGGGCTGTCGCAGGCCCCGGGCCCTCCTGCCTGCCGCCAAAGTTCCAGGCAGCACTAGTGGCCGAGAGGACCATCTGGGTGTCTGGGAGAAGGGGTGGTCCTGTGGGTGAGAGTGGGCAGAGAGAAAAAGCCATCTTGAGTGGGTGCCATCAGATGGCTGTGCCATGTCACATAGCAAGTATCGAGGGGGTGTGTACTCGTGTGTGCTTGAGGGGGCTGGAGGTAGGAATGTGCAGGCCTGTGCCTGGTGGGCAACCGTGTCCGAGCTCTAAGTCCAGCCATGCGAGCAAGACTGGCACGTACGAGGTGCCCAACTGTGTCTAGGAAATGTGCAACGAGTCAGGTGTGACACGCCAGGGTGTGTGCGCCCAGGGACAATGCGTGCGGTGTGTCTGGTAGCCACCAGGTGAGGACTCCAGTGTGCACACCCTAAGGGTTGTATGCAGGTCCGAGGGGCCAGCCCGATGTGACTGTGCCAGCCTTGGGGCACACCTGGCTGAGGGTGGGTGCCTGAAGGCACACGTGCAAATCTAGCACGGCCAGCCCACTGGGAGTAAGCGCTCACTTCATCTTCAGCTCGTGCATCTCCACGGTGTCCTCCTGCCCGGTCAGCTCTGGCGTCCCCATCAGCTGCAGCAGGGCCACCTGATGTGGGCAACGGGGAGGATGTCACAGCTGGCAGGACCCCCGCCCTCCCCTACAGATCACGCAGGGAGACACTGAAGCACCCAGAAAGGCAGCACAGGATGGGGCCATAGCGGGGTGTCGCAAGGGTTGGTGCTTCGCACGCGAGGAGGCTGCGAGCCGGTTTCAAGGGCCCCCTAAGGAGGCTCGAGTGGGCAGGCCCTAGAGTTAGTGGGTGTGGTCGCATGAAGGCGTAGCCTGGGCATAGTGGCGCAGACCCAGCCAGGAATTGGTAAAAGGAGTGGAGTAGGCAGGGCCTCGTAGTCCCAAGGACGCGGCAGGGCGTTGTAATCCCAGGGTGGAAGTAGGCCAAACACCTAGACTGGGATTGGGGTCTCCTAAAGCAGTGTGGGCTGGGAATTCCACTTTAGAGAGCGGTGTGGGCGTGGCCTGAGGTGGGCGTGGCCTGGGAATATTGTGTCTCGATCAGGATTGGCCGTAGGGGTAGAGTAGGCGGGGTCTTGGAAGCCCAGGGGAGGAGTAGGCTCAGAACCTAGGCTGGGATACAGGGTTACCCAAGATGGGGCCTGCCGTTGAAATTTACGCTCCCCAATATGCACCGGGTTGAGGACCAGACCTGAGGCTGTGGGACTAGCCAAAGGGGTAGGAGCGTAGTCGGGGCGGGCTCTGGGCACAGCAATGGGGCGGCGAGAGGGACTGAGGTGAAGTGGGCGTGTCCTGGGACTGCACAAAACCCGAAGGACCTGGAGCCGGACTGGAGGAGGGGTCAGGGCGGGAGAATCCCAAGTGAAACCTTAGTTGACGACTGAGGTGGAGCAGGAAGAAATGGGGTCTGGGGCGCCGGGGCTGGGTTTGGGTGGCCGGATAGGCCACGACAGACCAGGTGCGGGGAAGGGGACAAGGGCCGAGGAGGGGGCCTCACCGTTGCGAGGCGCGTCTGCTCCAGCTGTTGCAGGCTGCGCACGTGGCTCGCGAGCAGCGGCTGCCCTCTGGGCCCAGCCAGCTCGGCCTCCACCGCCAGCACCTCCCGCGAGGCGGCGGCGAAGGCCTGGGTCACCTCGTGCACTGTGCTCCGGTAGCGGGGGAAGTCGTAGGGCGGACCGCTTCGTAGGTACTGGAGGTGGCCTCTGCGGCAGGTGGGGGTCCTGAGGCTACGCCCCCAGGCTCTCAGGCCCTGCACCCGCCCTGACCACCTGAAAGCCCCCCCACAGGAAGGGTCCTTGGACCCCAGAGTGTGGAAGACGCTCTCTGACTCCCGCAGGGTAAACGGAGATGGGTCCTCTCCTGCGCTTGGGGAAGGGAGCGACGCCACGCGGAGTGGTCCATCGGGCAGTGGGGACGCACCCTTGGTCCCAGCGGGGGAAAGCAAAGATCTGGTCCCCCAGCGAAGCCCTCCCCACCTCTGACAACGCAGCCGCTCGGGGACCCAGCTCCGCCCCCAGGCACACCCATCCCCGGAGCTGGCTTGAGGCGGAACTCTGCGACCCCTGCCCACCCCTGCGCCCGCACTTACTCCTCCAGCCGGCGGAAGGCCTGCGCGCGTTCAGCCTGCAACTGGTGGATGCGCTGCACCAGCACCCGGATCGCGGCATCTTTCTACGGGGCGGGGGGCATGGCTGGGGCATGAGGCCGGCGCCCCCAAGCCCGCACCGCCCACCCCGTGCCTGCTCCTGCTCAGGCCCGGGCTCACCCAGGGCCACGCTGGCTCCTCGCGCTCCGGGACATCGGTGGCCACCGCAGTACCAGGTACCGAGGGGACGGAGGAGTCCACCGAGGCCTTGGCAGTGATCATGACTGCGCAGCCCCGGCCCTGCCCAGGATTAGGTTGCTTCGCTGCGCCAGGCGCCCCCTGCAGGCCCGGAGGCCTCCGCACCCCAGCCCGGGGCCAGCCAAGCCTGAAACCTAGAGATCCAGAGGAAGAATGAAGAGGGGTGACCAGTCTTTGGCACTATACCCCCCATCCACCCCCTCTGCTGGTCTCCGTCGAGCTCCTGATTTTTATAGTGTTTGTCCTTGAACGCACAGCTCTGTAAACAAGGACGTCCCTCGGTTTGTTTGTATGCATTTACCTCAACATCAACTTCATTTCACCCTTCCGTCCCGTTCCCACTCAAATAAAGAGCCCAAGAGGTGATCTTTTGTCGTCTATAATGGCTGTGATATGAGGATTTGATCAGCAGTTCTAATACAGCACAAAAGGCTGGAGTGCAGCCTTTTAAAAAATGCCTGAGGGAAAGAACCCAAGGCAGGCTCTGCTCGGTCAGCGCAGAACCCCATGTGGAGCTTGAGCTCACCAACCGCGAGATCTTGAGCTAAGTGTCAGATGCTTAGCCAACTGAGCCACCCAGGTGCCCACCACGTGTTAAAACAAACTCGGCAGGTACTGTGTACAATCCTCAGAAACCAGCTAGCTGAAGGGATCCTGTGCAAAGGCCCAGAGTCTGGGGTAGTGAGGCCAGCAGGGCTTTGTCTTAAGTGCAAGGAAGGCATTGGAGCTTTCTGGTGGGATACACCACGTCGTTTGAACTTTGGGAAGCTTCTTTCTCCAGGGATAGAGATGTTGGTAGCCTAGCGTGGAGAGCAGGGGCCAGCCATTGATAGGGCTGAAACCCATGAAACAAAAGACCTCAGCCTTTGGCTGGTACTCCTGATCTCAGCCATCGCCCAGGCCTGGGTTGTCACCCGACACAAAGCCCCAATCACCTCAAGACAAATGAAAGCGTGGCCTTCCTGGGGCTAGTCCAGGCCTCTCCAGAGTCACTTGACTCCCAGGTGCATTAGCACGAGTTTTATGAACACCAAGGCCTGCCCCCCGAGACTGATGTTCTAGGTCTTAGGTGGGGCCCAGGCGCCCCTCCTAATCAGCCAACTGAGAACAGATGTTTCACACCAGGTGGGGTGTTTTTGTCTATCCACCCACACACGGACAGCTAAGGACACAGGCATGGATGGCATTGAGTGCCTGAGCAGGGCCCAGCCAGTAACATCGTGGACCTGCAGTCTCACAAGGGCCGGGGGTGGGGCTTCATTCCCATTTAAGGATGACAAAACCCAGAGACACGGGTCCACTCGGGTATGTGGCAGAGGGCTGAGGCTGAAACCTGCGTGTGCTGTGGCTATGAAAACCCTGGTAGATGTGAAGGGCAGGGACCACAGCACATTTTACAGCTGAGACAATCAGAAGTCAAAGGACACATGACTCTCAAAGGCTGTGCAGAATCAAGTGATGGAGTCCCTCCGGGAGATGCCCACAACTCAGCCAGCTCCTTCTTGGACAGACCAGCCACGCAGACACCAGTTACTGCTCCAGTCAATGAAAGGGAAACTTTATTGAGGCCCCAGGGCCTTGGGCCGGAGGCCACCCTGCAGGCAAAGGAAGAGCTGGTGGAGGAGCCTTATTTGACCTTCTTCTTGGGGCGCAAGTTGTTGGTGTGGCCGCACTTCTTCTTGCGGCAGTTGACTGCACGGGGGTGCAGGCGGGCATAACACCTGCAGGATGAGAGGCTGGTGAGGGCACACCCCAACCCCAAGCCCTCCCCACGGAGGCTAGCCACCCGCCGCCCCCTATCTGAGAGCACTCACTTGCGGCAGATCATCTTGTCGCAGTTGTATTTCTGGGCCAGCTGGCGGAGGGAAGGCTCAATGATGCCACCCCGCAGGCGGAGCACCAAGTGCAGGGTGGACTCTAGGAGAAGGGGGTCAGAGAGAGACAGTGACTGAGCCTGGCCCCAGCACCTTGGGTGCAGCGTAGGGCCCTCCAGGCCAGACCTTGCTCAAATGAAAATCCCTTGGGTATTCTATATGTAGATGGACAGACTGTCCCAGACCACCCCACACAACCTCCATCTCCCTTCCCACCAGTCCAGGTCTTGGGGAGTCTGACACTAATATATGTGAACCATAATGTGCACTGGGGTTTCCTGACACACAAGGTAATTTGAGGGGTGTAAAGATGCTTTCATTTTGAGGAGAAAAATTAAATCTAGCTGGTGTAGAAAGAACACTGATTTCCTTTACAATAGTGACAAAATTTCTCTGACCACATTTTTATGTGTATTTCTAAAGATTTTGTTTTTGGGGCCCCTGGGTAGCTCAGTCCATTAAGGATCCGACTTTGACTCAGGTCATGATCTCACGGTTCATGAGTTTGAGCCCTGTGTTGGGCTCGGTGCTGACAGCTCGGAGCCTGGGGCCTGCTTCAGATTCTTGGGTCTCCCTCCCTCCCTCTCAAAAATAAACATCAAAAAAATTTTACCTTTATGTAATCTCAACACCCAAGATGGGGTTTGAACCCACAACCCTGTGATCAAGAGTTGCATGCTCTACTGACTTAGCCAGCCAGATGTCTCTCTTAGCACATTTTAAAACAAAATAGTCTTTTAAAGAAAAATAGGTGAGCAAGAACAAGAGAAACCACTGCTGCTTGGAATCTAAGTGGAGACCATGAGATGCTTTCCCCCAATGAAAACATTTTAGAAAAGACTCCTCCAGCCCCATCTCATCCTCACCTTAAGACAATTCCCCCCATCCTCCAATGTTGCCAACGAGACCATCAAAGCCTCATCCCTGGTTCTAGGTCTCACGGGCCCTGGCAGCCACCCTGCCCTCAGTACCTTTCTGGATATTGTAGTCTGACAGAGTGCGGCCATCTTCCAGCTGTTTGCCGGCAAAAATCAGACGCTGCTGGTCAGGTGGGATGCCTGGGGAGAGGGAAGCTCGGTTACTAAGACTCTGGGCAAGCACATTACTGGCAGCTTTCCTTCTCCCTACAGGGGTGTTCTGGCATAGCCTCCACCTATCAAAAGGGAAACTGAGGTAGAGAGAACAAGCTATTTAAGATCACACAGGGAGGCACTGGCCAAGGCTGAGGTCTATACAAGCCCAGTACGCATCCTGCACATGACAGGGGCTCCTCTGGGCCGAGAGGGATTCCTGTTGAACAGAACCTGTGAACTCAGCTCAACTCACCCTCCTTGTCTTGGATTTTGGCTTTGACATTCTCAATGGTATCACTGGGCTCAACCTCAAGGGTGATGGTCTTGCCCGTCAGGGTCTTCACAAAGATCTGCATCTCTGCGTCTGCTGGGAGGTGGGGGGCAGCAGGATGGAGACGTTGAGAACTTCATGTCTGAGTAGCTTGAGCTCAGGGGCTGGCCAGCCCTGTGCCAGCATCACAGGCCCATCCCAGCGCCTGTTTCCTTCCACCTCTCCGAAGCTACAGCCCAAATAGCCTATCATCAAGTATCATGCTTTCCACACCTTACCCCTGGACCCCTGTGGCAAAGTGTGCCTCATGGGAGCAAGGACTGTGATTATGCTCCCTGGGCCCAGCAAGAGATTCTATCAACTTTGAGGATGGAATGATAAGTACATGGCTGGGGCACCATTTGGCCAGGCACATTTTCTTCGAGTGTGGTCGGGAGGTCCCATCCTCCCTCCCTTCCCTATCCTTCTGTAAGCCACATTTGCTCCACAAGCTGCCCTTCCTACAACCTGAATGGGAATCCCATTTTTGGTATCCACTCCTCCAACACACTTTCCTCCGCTGCAGTTCAATCCAACTCCAAGCTCAGTCATCCAACACCCTGGCTTCCCTCTCAGTTATACCCGAACTCGCCGACGACACTTCTTGCCTTCGCTCCTACTCATAAACAGTATCTGCCAACCACGTGCCATGTACTTGTTTACACATAACATTTCATCTCCCCCCACCCCAACGAAAGCCTAGAAGCTGGATGCTACCACCCTCTCCTTATAAATATACTGAAAAAAGGTAAGTGGTGAATCACCCCGTGGTAGAGTAAGGGGACTTAACACTTTCAAAAATATTAGCGCACTATACAGCACCCAAAAAAAAAAAAAAAAAATTACGTCTAGGACCCCTCCCCCTTGCCCAGAAAGACCATCCACGCCCCCAGGTCTCCTGGGATAGCCTTGGCCAGAAGGGCGCATAGACTCCTCTCCCAAAAACTCGTTCGCCACCCGGGGCCCAGTCCCGACTCAGAACCTCGGCCCCACGCGCCCAACTTAGCCGACCCGGCCGCCCTGCCGAACCTGGCCCGCGCGGACAGGTTCCGGGGTGTCCCCTCCGCTACTGGCACGCCCGCGGCTTCCCACAGCCTCCCGCCCGACCCTGGTCTGGCCCGAACCCGCAACGCCGCTGCCACCAAGCCGCTCGGGAACCTCGTTGAAGAGAAAGAGGACGACGGAACCGGAAACCGCGGATTTGCCGCCGAGAGCGCCTGCGCACCTAGCACGCTGCGCGCTTGCGTCACAATCCGCGCCGCGCATTATGCCCCACCCCCGGCCCCGCCCCGCCGCCGCCATGTCGGGTGCTGGCGAAAGAAGCAGCAGCGCCTGTGGGCGAGTGTCAGCAGCCCGCTTCCGGGTGTGGTCCCTCGTCCTCCCAGGTCACGTGAGGGGACCGCCACACCTTTCCAGGTTGTCTCTCGGTTGGCTGAAAACTGCACCTAATGGTCATTCGGGGAATGCTTGTTGACAAGAGCAGAGGAGACAGTTTGTGCTAAAGCAAAGGAATTAAGCAGAGGGTCAGCGGGTCCAGGATTCAGGGGTCGGCACGGGAAGGTGGTAGGAGGCGCAGGGATGGGATGGAACGTGCCAGATCCTTGGGAGCCACTTATCACCAAGAGTTAGATATTTAAACTTTCTAGCCGCTGTGAAAACTTTCTGGCCACTGTGCGGGAATGAAGGTCAAGGCGGCGCTTCTCAGAGCAGTGAGGGAAGGTGAGGCTGATGCATTCCCTCAAGAAAAGGGGGTGCGACCCAGGGTCAGTTTGGGGCCAAAGAGGACTTTTGTTAGGACCAAGGAGTCGTGAATGGCTAAACAATGCCAGGGGCCGGGAAGGGTGAGGACTGAAGCGTAGGTTTGGCAGGGTTCCTCTTTATTTCCTTGAACACTTACCAGCGCCCCGTTAACAGGCAAAAGCACACATTCTTGGATCTAGGAAGATGTCTTTAATAATGTAATTTTTAAGGGCTTAAAAGATGAGGGAACTCTACACAGTGTCTAATGGGGAAAGGGACCCAGCCTGGCTCCCTGAGGAGTCTGTCCTGAGACAGACCTGGAGGAGTTATTCAGAGCTAAGGGAACAGCAGGGGTGAGTACACTGGTAGTGAGAGGAACTTGGGTTATTGTGGTTGCTACCACTGGAGACTGCCACCGTGTGCAGCCACATCTTAGTGGTGCCAGGCCGTCCACAGCCGTCCTGTCTCACATCCTGCACTCGCATCCCCTTATGGCATCCTGGGCCCAAGGATGGAAGGAAGCCACTGCTAAGGACACCCTTTCCTTTTTAGTAACAGAGTCTCTTTATTGATAACTTCCCAACAGCATCTGTAAACATCGGGTACAAAAATATTCCGTTTAACTCTGTTTTCCAAGGTGGCTCATCTTGCTCCATGGACGTCCTGGGAGAGGCCTGCGGGTTCCCACCTCTGGTCAGAGAAACCCAGAACGCATCAGGCTTGCAGCTGAATGGCCCGCCTCCATCTTGAGCCTTCTGCAGCTGTCTCAGAAGCCTCCTTGAGATACCAACTGGAGACAGCATTCAATACTTTTGTTGGAGGAAGGGGCAGGGAGGCCAGAATTAGTAGGTGCAGGGATGGATTGGGGTGAACTCAGACATGACAGCGCCGATTCACTCTGAGGTCTCGACCAGGGCATCGGGGCAGGGGCCTTCTGGCTCTGGTCTCTGGGAGCCTTTAAACGTTGTTTAGAGCAGACCTCGAGCCTGGCTCTGGAAAAGCTCCTTTACGCCCAGCGCAACAACTCCAGCTGAGCTGGTCATCCCCTGGCCTGGCGGAGGGGTCTGCAGAGGACAGATGTTCTCAGTGAGGAGGAATTGGGAATGACAGACCCCCCAGGAACTCCACACCCCTGGAGGGAGCTTTGTCCCCCAGGAGCCTTGGGTGACACAACAGGGTGGCAAAGCTGTTGACCTCCAGGCAAGGTTTGGGTTGCCTGCTGCCACCTCAGACACCTGGGGAGAGCTGCCACTGCCCTGAGACCCCTCAGGCCACCAGGGAGTAGGGTTACTCCCCCGGTGTCTCCTCATCATCCGTCTGGCTACGGCCGTTGATGGCAGGAGAGCTGGACCGGACATGGGAGAGGTCCTCGAAGCCAGGACTGAGGGAGGGCGAGACGGTGTCAGGGCTGGTGTCACACGAGCCCGTGCTCTGTTCTGAGGTGGCAATGGTGGTCGTGGTGCTGGGTGGGATGGGATCTTCATCCTCGTCCTCCAGGAGGGAGGCCTCTGGGATGTCTGGGGGAAGGAGGCCAGGAGTTGGCTTAGTCACTGTGTTGGGCACCATGATGAGGGGTCAACCGGGCCTATGACCCTGAACAGCTCCCATGCCACCCCACGGGGCATAACTTGGTCCACTTTACCGAGGAGGAAACCAAGGCCCAGGCAAGGGAGAGTTTCCCTTCAAGGTATAAGGACCGAGGTTCTTTGGAGTCAAGCCAACAGAAGCCGAGCCTAGCTCTGCCCTGTTAACTCTGCAGGCCCCTCACTCCCCTTGCCCCAGCATTCTGCTCTATAAACCAGGCCTGATGATAGCCACATGCTCTACTGACTAAGGCAGTCAGGTACCCTGACAGCACTGCCTTTGTACTTCTGGTGGTTAGCAGCCCTGAGGTGGGGAGAGGTTGGCCTGTTTGGCAGAGAGGGTAAACTGAGGCTCGGCATAGGGGATGCTGCACATCCTCTGAGAAGTTACTGCTCCTTAGGGCTACAGTTTCCCACTGTATGAATGGGATACTCACAGCCCCCACTGCTTGGGTGGTTGTAGGTAAGAGCCTACTCATAGGGCTATGCCATACCCACTTGGGCAAGGACTGTCATCGTCCTTATCCACATTCCCGTGTAACCTCCCCCCAGGGAGGGGATCCTAGTCCCAGCATCTGCTCTGCAAGCTGCCAAGACCAGCCAAGCAACGCTGCCCCTGCCCCCTGCCCCAGGTCTCTCTAGATCTACTGCCCACCAGGACCTGGGCTCAGTGTCAGCCCCTGAGGTAACCTTCCAGAAGCCAGCCCTGGGGTAAGGTGCTGGCATCCATGGGTGCAGAGGCCAGGCATGGGGCACAGGAGCCCTGGGTGACACTTACGGCTGAAGGCCTCCGGGTGCTGCCTGGCCAGCTTCCCTTTCAGCGTCCTGCAGGGGAAGGGAAGGCATACGGGGCTGAGCCTACCAAGCAGACAGGCCGGGCCTGGAGCACGCCAGGAGCCCTTGATGCAGCTCCAGGTGGGTGGGGGATGGGAGCCCCCCCCCCCCATACTGCTGGTCACTCTGCTCCTGGGCTGGAGGGAGGGCCATGTGCTCAGCCCTGGGCCAGATGGCAGCCACTCAACTGTCGAGAGCCTGTGTGTGTCCTCTATGCTGGGACTGCCTGGGCCCTCTACCTACAGTTAGACCTTTCTTAGGTCTAATCCTCCCCTGCCCCGATAACCTTCCAGGAAGCTTCCTCACCCCTTCCTCAGCAGTCACTCCCCTGAGTGACCTGTCCCAGCCTATCCCCCACCACTAGGATGACAGTGTCTGTGCGGGGGCCAGGAGTGATTATGCACACCCCAGACACTGTGTATTTGTGCACGTTGAACTGACGTTCACAGAGAAACATCTCCTTTTTTTAATCAGCTGTTTTGCCTTTCTTCCTAAAGTAAGGAAGTCATCTTTGCAAAGAATAACAAGGGGGCCTTTGGGGTGGAGTCTCATCCTTGACTGAGGTGAACCAGCCCCCACCAGAAGCACCACCATTGCTGGGTCCCTACCTACCAGGCAACTGGGCAGCCACGACTGTCCCGTTCCTGGGTGATATGGAGATGCACAAAAGGTGTCGACACTTGGGGGTTCTGCTCATCCCCAACACCACACCTGGGCAGCTGGCCTGATGAGACGCCTCAGAAAATATGTGTTTTTATAAAGGATTTAATTGGCCTGTCTCATGATCTGTTCCTGAGTCTGCCAGTGGGAGGGGCTGCCCCCAGGACAGAGGAAGTAGCGCTGTCAGCTGGAAACACAGCTGCAGCTCTGGCTGGTTCCAGGCCCAGGCACGTGGCCACAGTGATGCAGCCTCTGGGCGCGGCATCGAGCATTCTGCATGCTTGGGGACCAGAATGTCCTTTTTCTCCGCCCTCACAGAAAACAGCTCAGAAAAACCCATAAAAACTGGCAATCTCCTATGCCTCTGGAGAGGAGACCTGGGCTGGGGGCTGGAAGACCAGGCTTGCCTTTCACTGTCTGCACCTGCCTGCCTTTTGCCTTGTGCATCTGGTCCTATGTTGCATTTTTGGAAAGAGAAATAAAAGCTAAATCCAGAAACTTTAAGATTTTTTTAGCCCGAACTTCAGATCTTCTCAGATGCTAAGTGAGCAATGAAGCCTCAAAGAACAAATTAACGGTCTCCGTTGCTCTGTTATGCGGGGTGGGTGATCCTCACTGAAAAGGGGAGGAACCCGAAGGGGAGGAGCCTGAGGGGGAGGCAGAAGCTGGAGAGGTCAAGGACCCACCTGATCCTGCGGAAGATGCTGTCCAGGTCCCGCTTCATCTCCACCAGGGTCCTCGTGTGGTGCAGGAAGCGCTCGCTCATTTGCTGCAGGCGGGCGCTTGACAGGTTGTTGAAGTTCAACAGCATCTCGTTGGTCTTCTCAAAGCGGTCCAGCCTGGCAGCGGAGAGAAGGCACCAGCCCTGCAAACCATGCCCTACACGCTGATCGTGCTGGGCCCTTTCCTGCTTCATGACCGTTGCATGTGTTGTTTCCCTGCCATGTAGAACTCTACTTGCTGTTTGAGCCAGCTGGCAACCTCCTACTCAACCTTCAAAACCCTACCCACGTACATCCTTCTCACATATATCCCCTCCCTCAAGCAGACTCTGACTTCCCTGACTCCCTAGACCCAGGTTATTCCTCTGGCCCAGCCCTGACCCCATGGGGCCAGGAATATCTGTGTCTGGTTTTGTCTCCCCTCACTCTGGGAGTTCACCAAGGCCAGGCCTAAATCTGACCCTGACAAACCCAGCACCCCTGTCCCAGCAGGAGAGAAATGGAAGGGTATCAGGCCTATGCCATGTCATAAATGAAAGGAAGAGCTTTTGGCTTAACTACACAAGCATAAAGTCACAGGAAGCTGTGCTTCCATCCCAAGATTGTGTAAGCCTCGCTTCCCAACAGAGCAGGCTGGAATTAGGGTGAGGCTGTGGCGGGCACGGTGCCAAGCTGGAGGCCAAGGCTG